GAGGAACCGTGTGAATGTCCATTTGACTACATTGCTAGGATTGTGGTTATGAATCCACATTACTAAATAGTATTAATTTTCTTAAAAGCCAGTATAATAATTTGCTTTGTGAACCTTGTTTTAATTGTAAGGTAAGATTAGGGAGTGAAATTACAGAATAAGAAATATGTCTCTTATCTGTCTCAGAAGGACTAAGATGTTATGACATCTTAGTCCTTCTGAATGGTAATGCATAAGTGTGAACAGGGCAGGCGTGATATGTCGTCACATGTGTGTCATCGGAATGATAACGAGATGGCCGTGGTCCTATTCTTGTTTTTTGGCGACGGTTGCTACTTACCATGAGACGGTCATCAGCTTGTTTGCCATTTAAATATATTGAAAGAAAATATTGAACTATAGCTAGCTTCGAAAACAAGAGATACTAAAGTGGAAAAGTTTCATAATATTTTCATCATCATCATTGCCTTGCATTTATCGCATTTTTTGGGGTCTGCATCGATCCATCCATCTTTTTTCGGCCGGGTTACATTCATGTTATATAAGTTTCTTAATTTTTTTTCAAAGAAAATCAAGTCCTTCTCTTTCGTTGTAATTTTGTTATGCTATGTAAGAAGCAATCCTATTAGGATTAGAAATCAGCAAATTCAGATCCCTTACCAATCTCCACGAATTACCTCTCTGCTGTTGTTACATCCAATAATCAAAATCCAAGTATAAACTTCCTGAACCAAACATTAGCCACCGGCGCCCACGTATGTTTCCCGTTGACCATGGGTTGTGTTTGTATGTACAAATGGTTTGGTAACAATTGATATACCTATTCCCTGCAGATGTATTGTAGAAATCTAAAATAGTTCTGGAGTTCTGTTATGAAGTCTTATTAACGTTCAAATGTCGTGGTGTTTCCACTGCACGCTGTTATAGTTAGTATAATTATGTAATATTATCTTAAGTATGGTATAATTCTTAGAGAGGGTCTTTATAATAATAATATTTCAGGATAATTTACACAGCGCCTGTTTGTACTATGCTTTTGTTTTAATGTCCTAATGAATATTTTGTACTATTATAAAGGATTTGTATTTTCCCTCCAATGATTCAGTTAAGAATGACATATTTAAAATTCGAGACTTCTGTGTTCCATTTTTAAAAGTAATATAATGTGATGTAGCAAAGATGTTGCATACACTTGTAAATAACAATACCTAACGCCTTAGGCAGCGCCACTTAGTCTCAAGCAGAGCTTGTGTTATGGGTACTAAACAACTGATATAAATACATAGATAATTTTTAATTTCTTTTTAAATACATAAATAATTAACACAATATGACAATTATCCAGCAGTGAGTAGCATAGATGCAGACGTCTGCATATATATTATATATTATAAGCCAAACGGCGACATCTATACATAATAATAATAAATAAAATTAGAGTGTCTGTTTGTAATATTGAAATAACCGTTTTTTACTACATGCATATGTATACAAATACAGTACATACACCAAAATAACATGTTCTCAATTTTTGTCTGTCTGTTTGTTCCGGCTAATCTCTGAAATGGCTGGACCGATTTTGACGGGACAGACGTACACAGAGAAGGATTTAGTGTAGAAAGAGGAAGTACGGGAAGGAGTTTTAGGAGAGATAAATTTATTGCACTACAAAACCCATGATATATGGGGTTGTAGCTCAGTGATTCAAATATATAGCTAAACGAAATATCTCCTACGGAAAGCATACACTCTATCCTAAGGATATAAAACTATCGCTCCTAAGAATATCCTTCAATTCTTGTCCCTGTCTTAGTAGCAAACTTTGAAAAAGGGCGAGCACGATAGATCTATGTAGATCGCAGTGCTACAAGCCTGAACCTGGCAAGAGCCCAAACCCCTTAATAAAAAAAGCCATGATTAAATAATATTAATGAGAGTGGCTCGAGCTGAAAACAAATACGTACTGGAGTTTTCAGAATCAGTATATTGGGAACGAACGCTGTAAACAATAACATAACGCTTACGGATCAAGTCAAAACAGGCAATAATGATGTAATAAGCTAAAAACATCTGTATTTAGGTCATTATTGGGTGCACATTGTTTTGAGAGTAAATTTTAAACAAATTATGTTATTACGAGTACTTACTATAATAGCGACCTGCCTCGGCTTTGTACGGATGCAATCATTTACTGTTAGAATACATTTTTTTAATCATTTATATAGTGCCTCTTTTAGGTACTCGTTAAAATATGGTTGTCCACAATTATGTCTGGCTCATCAGGTGTACTTCTGAATGATTACTGATTCCATTCCTCCACCGAAATATTATATTTATGTAATTGAATACATTTTTAGTTCTTAATCAGTTATTGATGTAATTTATACATAATCTATACAAATAAATAAAATTGGCGTGTCTGTTTGTAATATTGAAATAACTGTTTTCTACTAGATACATAAAACATATAAATACGGTACATAGACCAAAATAACATTTTTTACAATTTTTGTCTATCTGTCTATCGATCTGTTTGTTCCGGCTATCAGAAGTAACTTAGGCTACTTTTATTTCATAAAAAATCTTTTATTTTAGAAAAATAAAGTTTTTCCACGCGGACGAAGTCGCGGGAACAGCTAGTATTACATATTTATGATCAAGTAACAGTTATTTTTTATGTATGCGGCGACCGAGAGTGATAGGCTGACTCAAATTGGTAAAAGTCGCAATGTTCTATCACCTCCGTCCAAGATGGCGCTATACGCAGTTTTGTATATATAAAGTTTATCAATAATGATAATAAAATAGTATACTCGCTTAATGCTAGGAACCTCTGAAGGCTGACAAAAGGAAAATAAAGTCAGGATAGTTTCTAAGGAGAACCGCGGAAAAACCGATCTGACGTGGTACCTACATTTACCAATAGCAATCCACTATTCCTCATTATTAACAACCGCCTCCCCTAACCCTAACCACAATATTACATACCCTAACTGACCTGACCTAGGGGAGAAGGGATTGTTACTAATAATTCCATTGCTAGCAATGTACCATGTCAGGTTGACCTCCACGCGGTTAAAACAGGCGGATGCACAATATGTTACGGTGCACCCATTGTTGTGTGTGAGTGCCTCATCATTCATACAAAAAACATAAGCTTCAACATATACGCGGAAGGACTTATGGAGCGGCTGAAGGCAAACTCCTGCTCGACGGAGTTAGTGACGGAGATTAATCTGAGGGTACCACTAGGGGTTCGAACCTAGGGGATTAAGAAAGTCGTGGACACCAATTATAGGTTTGTAATGATGAAAATAAAACAACAATGTAAATATGTCGTTCTCTTGATTTAGAACATTTAAATAATATACTTAAGACTTAAAATTGAGATTATGTCGCAGTACATATATAGCACAATATACATATACAGCTTACAGCACACGAAGGGGAGAAACTATCTACTATACTACAAACAAGTACCTCATAAAAAGTCCGCATCAAAGCATGAGTAATTCTAGAATAATCTCCAATATATAGGCTTAACTCGCATAATTCAACTTACATTTTACTAAATTTTAAATACTTCACTAGGTAACCTTATTATATTTTTTAGCAAATAAACTTATGGTAAGTTTATTATATAAATATCATTAACTTATTTATGTATTATAATTTGTCTATGGTAATACATAAAGTATGTATCGCAAACAAACAAATCATTTTAAATATTTATTATGCAGTCTTTGTTATGTTTTTTTTATAACATAAATAAATATTACTTATGTATAGTATCATGGAGAACGAAAATTCTCTTAGATAAATAATTTTCTTAACTATCTTCTTAGTCTTATTCTTATTAATCAATCATTACTATGATATTTTACATCTTGGACAACTTAAGCAATACTGAAAAATATTTAAATTATTTTATAAAATAAAAATGTAAATAAACACACACATGTTTTATTTTTTTAACCGTAAATGCTGATGGGGATTTTTATTAATAACGATTGCTTACAATGTACCATTTTGTTTTATTCTTAGTAAATTTACCACAATGGGCCAACTGACCTAACTTCATGGTCATCGTATAATCCTCAAGTACCATCAGTGTATGCCGTTAACACAGGCAGGTACCCCATAACATTTATATTTCTATTTCTATTTCTATTTCTATTCTATTTCTATTCTATTCTATTCTATTCTATTCATAACTACTAAAACACAATATTGCAAAATGTACAAATATAAACTTATAACAAACTTATATTTTGTTTGTACCTCATTAATTAACACAAAACGATTTACATTATGCTAAAGGATTCAATATTCAATACATTCAATAGAATAATAATCGCAATTATATTGAATCAGATACATTGTGTTATTCAGGTGATATTACATTTTATTCTTTTCTATTATCAATTCGAATTGTTACAATATTTTATTAATTTGACATTTACGCTTCAATTCAGTTTAATATATTTCTCAATAGAGTGTAGGCAATTGTAGATAACTGAATTATATGAATGAATGAATCAACATTGATAGTAGGACCTTGTGTCAATTTATTGTAAACAATGACATACCTATACAACAATACAATTATAATAGTTTAACGTAATATTTATCAATGTATATTGCGATTATCTGTGTATTAATAACATTGTAAGTAATTATTGTTATATACTCGTAGATAACCTATATTCAGTCAGTTTTATTATTGAATGAAATTCATAAATGTCGTTGATTGAAATTCGTACTTTGTTTTTAATGCAAGATATTATATGTACTAATATTTTAGTTCTCTACATATATGAGTATTTAGCGGCTACGTTGGGGCTGCTATTATTTATGATTATGTGTACTCTGTAGCTGCAGCAGGAAAGGAGGAGGTGAAGTAATAAGTCCAGTAGTGGATATGTACATAGTATTTACAATAGATACATAAGAAGTATATTTACAAGAGGCGAATCGGTATCAAATGACAAGCTTCTTGACCCATCGTAACTAGGCAATGTTGTTGCCGTACGATGATAGTAGATTCGCCACAAGTACTTTATAAATAATGATTCTGATATTTAATTGATTGAAGAGTTTTCTTGTTTCAAAAAAGTACAAAAGATGGAAGACTTTGTGTTCGCACTGCATGAAACTTTTGTACATCTAAATTAATTAAATTTTCTATTATATTATTTTATGATAGCCTTGATGGTCTAGCGGTTTGCACACCGCTTTACTTCCTTTAATTTTCTTTATCCTGTTACTGATTACTCGCACTGTGTAAACATTTTGTATTCATGATTGTTGGTATCGGTCTTGGTGTTCTCTATGTTTATTATGTATGTATGTACTATATGAAAGAGATATACCAAGAAAGCGTATAACAAGGTGATAGAAGTCAAAGACGCCTATTTTCTAAAAAAAATCATACATCTGGGTACATAACGTAATAAATACATCCAGATTTGAGCTTATTTACAAAACTACATTTCTTCGAACTAAAATTACTCCCAGAATCTCACTTACTCCAAGCAACCTACCAAAACTTCAGTAAAGTCATCAAATAAAATACGACACTAGTCACTGTATACAGTATTATATACTAATTCTTGAATCTTCATTCTTAGCATTAATTTCTTTGCTGGGCCTAATTTCTTTACATGCGGCAAAAGGCTATTGAAAAATCCAATATCTTCATCTTTAGTTGGCTCACTAGGTTCACCGTTACCAGTTGATTTCGGAGCTTCGTCATCATCATCATAAAAATCCGTCTCCATTATAATAGGTTTTGTATCGAACTCGTCAAATTCATCCTCTTTCACACTAACATCGTTAGCTACAGGCTCAATATTGTAGTAACTGCTACTCTGGTCAGGCTCAAAGTCCTGACTAAAGTGATCGTCCTGGTCTAGATCTGGGTCTTGAAGTTCGGTGCCTTCGTAATCATTGAACTGATTTGTTAGGAACTGTAGTTTTGGTAAATATTCCCATTCGGAGCCTTGTTTTCTGATTTCTTTTCTAGCTTGATCTCTTAGGTACTTCCATTTCAATCTGGCTTCGTCGCCTGTAACAAGATACATGAAAGATCATTATAAGATACATAATAGATAAGTTTGTTAAAAAGGAAATAAACAGAAATTATAATATATAAAGTACATGGTCTCCATCAGGAAATAATTCAACCTAATTTTAATATAATAAGGTTTATAATCCACGAAGATGTCCTGTTACATTTAACCAAAAATACAATAAATAAAATTATTGACAACAAAAATTAAAGTAGTGTATATTTTGGCAAATTCCTAACGGAGTTTAACAATTTTGTTTATTTTTTTGATCAAGTCCTACCATTGTTGCGTAATGGTACCACCATTACTGTTACATATATGTTAGATAACAGAATATTAAACTTTGTGATAAAATCTTACGTCATTTATCTTGCATCGTATCATACTTGTCTATATTTGGTTTATTCTTGATTTGTTTTATTAAATATATCACTTTGACAGAAATTACTTACAATGATTAAAAAGTACATTTACTGAGTTACTGTAAATAATGTTGTATTTTAGTCACCCTTACCTTCCTAAAAACACGTCTGTACGTGCACCTCAAATATAAAAATAGGTGATATTTCAACACCACCAATTTGCCCTAAAGCTGTGGTTTCGTTGAAGTACTGATAAGGCAGTGAAATTAGCATGTAAGTGGAATGAAATGGCCATGATAACGTGATACCCGTAGTGCTATTCCTATATATTCAGCTTGTTGGACAAATCAATTATATAAAGATTTTTTTAGTCGATCCACCAGTTTATGTCTTGCAACGTAAATATTTCTTATATTGTATACATACTTGATAACCACTCTAATAATTAATAATATGATGATATCTTTTCAATTTTCTACAACCTGTGTACTAAATATAATAAGTCTCAATAGATTGATACTTACGAGTTACACCCAATTCCAAAGCGATCTCCTTCCAACTTTCATCCAATTTGTACCAATTGTGATGACCCTTTAGCTGTCTGTTCCATATTATATCCCTCGCTTGAACTAAATCTATCAACTTGTGCATATCAACGTCTATAGTTCTTCTTTTATTCATTAGCAACTTCTTTCTCATCGTGTACCCGAGTTTTGGCCTCTTTATAGATTCGTCCAGAGAATTGAAAACTTCGTCTGCTGTATCGTCCTCTCCATCTTCGTCTTCAGCCAAGAACTGGTGGTGGATGAACTTTAACTTCTGGAAGTGCGGCCATTCGGACTCGTTGGAGTTCTTTTTCATCTCTTTCCGACATTGGTCTTTTAGATTCTTCCATCTTTTTCTACAATTGAGACCTGGAAATGGGACGTGTAATTTCAGTTTATTAACTAATTCATAATGATGATAAAATGCAAGTAAGACTACTCGCCCTAAAAAATAATAAAGATAAAAAAATGTTTCTTGCCAGTGCTTCTCTTATAGTAGACGGTGGGAACAAAAAATATGCACAAGAGACCGAAAATTTCTATCTGACTTTGACTTTAAATGTAATATTTTCTATACAATTAAATATTAAATTCGGTTTATGGTTACTAATGACTTAATCCATACTCTCTATTCATACCAATATTATAAATGTGATAATGTCTCTGTCTGTATGTGTATTTGTTAGTCTCTCACAAAGAAATGGCTGAACGGATCTTAATTACCTTTGATATTAAGACAAGCTTGTATCACGAGAATGGACGTAACTTCTTAAGAAGACGAATATGCGACTAATAACTAGTATTCATAGTACCCATAGTTTTATTTACAACTTTCTTGTGTTAGTTGCTTATTAAATTAAAAGTAATTATTACTAAAGAGTATGTCTGATTTTTTGATATAAAAGACAGTTTATATCCGTCTAACCTCTTAGTCGGGAAAAGGTAACAAACATACAGACGACACTCTTTCGAATTTATCATTTTAGATTACTTTAATACCAAAAAAAATATTTTGTTTTAGCTACCCACAACAAGCAGCTATAATCTTGTGGCGAAATAACTGTATACAAAGTTTACGTGTTTTTTTTTTTGTTATCCCACTTGTAAACATATATATTTATTACTAGTTGTTATCCGTGAATACGTACGGATGAGTATAGTTTATTAAAATGTTTATAATATAACATTAGCTATCTGCGTGTGAAAGTCTGGTCAAATATGGTCAAACAGATTAACAAGAAAAAACAGTCAGACAGACAAACATGTTTTAATATAGTTTTTTATGTATTTACAGTAGTTTTTTATTTAAATACGATATTTACCGTATACCTATTTCATTCGCATTTAGTGAAAAGCCGGTTATTTGAAATTAAGACCAGACCATATAGATTTTCAAATTGATCCCGTATTTATTAACCTGCAGACAATTGTGACAGCCGATTTTTTAAAATGGACATTTAGTATATGTATATTAAATCTCCATTTTGAATATTATTGTACATTGATTTTTCATTTTTAATATTAGAAGATACATTATTATTATAAGAAGGAAGACATAAGTATAAGAAAATACATACTTAAAAGTCCATAATATAATTAGAGCAATCAGCATTAAAATCATTTATATTTAAGAAATAATCGTCGCGAACAAACGTCAAACGTATCCACTCTACTTGTCTTAATATAATCGCAATTCTAAGTACAAGCGCAGAAATCTGCGCCAAGCTACTAACATAAATACAAAACATAGCCAAGCGGCTAAGAGACATGGCCGCGGTGCGGACGCGTGCTGACGTTCACTCTTACGATTTCACTCACTCGATGTGCCCACTTCGGTCGCCACTTCGTTCCAATAACGCTCCAATTTAAACCGATTCCTATGTCCTCTATAGCTTTTATCCCACAAACACTCCCTAGCCTGTACAGCTGCTATCAGCTTGTCCATGTTTTTGGCCCTCATGCCTTTTACTTTAGATTTCATCGCGGAGCGGATGCGCTAGCGGGAGCGGACAGCGACGACGGGCAATAAGAGCGACGCGCGGGTCTAAACTGAGCGAGCGAGCGGTCGTCCGCCCGCGTCCCTACCATGCGTCCGCTGTTTCACTCGCTCCCGCTCCCGCTGCGTCGTATCGCCATCCTCTTCGCTCATCGCCCCGCTCCCCTGTCAGCCTGGCGACACGCCTCGACGAATTATCCCGCGTTTGTTGCTCGCACCATACGACCTACTCTCACGGTGCGTTTTGATATGCAGTATTCATTGCTTTGGTGGTACTGTGGAATTATTCGTTTCAGATACAAATGCAGCATTGGATTGCATGTAAATTCGGATATTGTTATGATTGATGGGGTGTTGTTGTATGTGGTTTGGATTGGGTTGCAACAATGGTCGCGGCGGCAGCGATTCAACTAAATGTCAGTCAACATTAATTTTCCCGGCCTTGTTATTATGAACCCACGCGGGAACAGATAAACAAATATCTTGTGAGACTACGTACATCTTTAATGTTAGAACTGTAAGCTTAGATGAAAGAAAACTGCTACTTTATTATAACTAATGGTCTCGAAGTGTTCGTGAATGAATTTCAATATTAAATACTCTTATCACAAAGTCAAAATGTTAGTAGGTCTACTTTAGACCACCTAGTTCTATTTGAAGCGATTTCACCGTCGGGTCGTGTCGTCAATTATCAAAATTGAGAATCGAAAACGCGGATCAGTTATTTTAAATGCAAACGTAGTATAAATTGTATTATTAATTACTTTATATTTGGATTATATAGCATAAACTTATAAAAAAATCAGATTCTCCTTTCATTCATTAGGTATATTTTAAGACATTTCAGTAAGAAGATTTTTTCTCTATTGTATCAGAATTTGTTGTAAACATTTCATAATAATAATACTTATTCGTATTATCTGCATTAAAATTAATTAATAATAATATAATTGTATGGTGATTTAATTTTCGTATTTTTTTTTTACAAAATACATACGTACATAATATATATAGAAAAACATATCAACCAAGTTAGCATAGCAATGGAAAAGGACCCGCAACTGATGGAAAGTAAGCCAGTATTGCTAACCGCTAGGCCACCGACTACATCTCGTCGTTGGTCCCTTCGTCTAGCTATTATAGTAATGTGGCATTACTCCTGATTGTGCAACATTTTTCATTGATACTCCACTAGATCTATAACTCCATAATGTCTTTAACTATAAAGTCACAGCATGGTGTTCGTCAATTAATGGGCAATTCAACACTAAAATAATTTTCAAAATCAGATCAATAGTACTGGAGATTATCTCGAACATCCAAACACACAAACTTTACTTATTTTAACACTAGTATGAAATTTTTCTTATCTATTTAGATAGTAGCCGATTTCCAGACGTACTAATATGCATATAAAGTTCCATAAAAATCGGTCAAGTCGTTTCAGAGGAGTATGATAAACATTGTGACACGAGAATTTTATATATAAGATTAATGAAACATTAAGTATTTGGCATCACATTTTTAATTCAACACGTATTTATTTCATATTGCAACTATTTTTTGTTACTATTATGACTAATCTTTACATCTAATTTAATTTAGTATACACATTATATTGATTGATAAACGGGGTCAATTTTACAATTTTACTTACTAGTAGACCCTACATAATACGGGACACAGATTAAAAATAGACTATGAATTTCTTGATTGAAAACAAGTGGAATATAAAGCTTACAACAATGAAATACAACAGTGTAATCGGTATATAACCCAGGATAATTCACACAGCACATCTAGTCCCAAGCTAAGAGTTTGTGTTATGGGTATAAGTACCACAAACACAGCCGATATAAGTACCTAATTAATTATTTCTTAAAGTAAAGTGGTGTATTACATAGAATACACCCAAACATAAACAATCATACTCATGATTACAAATACTTGTATTGTTCGAAGAATCGAACCCAGGAAAGTCGGAAATATGGCGGTGTGCTAAATAGCTAGACTACCGGGGCTAACTATAATGTGTACAATTATAAACAACTATGTACTATAAAGTTTGAAACAGTTTTAATTTAAATAAATTACTTAATAGTTGATAACTTATCAACTATTGTCGTCTCGTCTAGTTAAAATATTGTCTACTACATTAACTATATGTCTTCTAAATAACCTCATTTCTTGCTGATTAAACGATTCTATCTCTGGTAGTAAACTTAAAAGGAACATTTTCCTAGCACTGTATTCTCCAAACTCATGATGCCTTTTAAATCCTCTATGAGGTGCGGTCATATTACACTCTGATGAATTAAAAATATCTACAACACCACCACTAACTTCACCATTTCCGGTTTTATCTTTAACATAATCAACTCTATCTTCTATACCATCATCCACAGCTTCCAAATCACTATCATCCTCTTGTTTGATCACTATAGTCTCCATGTCTATCAAATCAGATCTGCGCTTCGTATTTTTCGATTTATCTCCCGATTTCATGTACATATGCATGAATGGTATAAGGAATTGCAAATGGTCAGCCAACCAGTATGGTCGATTTGGTGGGTTGTTGCTCTGAAACTGTTTGACAGATCTCATGAACGCGACGCGGATTTTCCTCCATTTCTCTTTGCAATCGGTTGCTGTAAATAAGATATATTTGTTATTTAGAAATGGACTTATGAACATGCCATAAGATCAGGACACCGTTGTAACGTATAAAATATGAATTAAATATAATAATAATAATAACCCAGGACAATTCACACAGCGCCATCTAGTCCCAAGCTAAGCAGAGCTTACTACACCTACAATATGCAGAGAGGATACAGAGGATTGTAATGTTATGTAATACTAGCTGTTCCCACGACTTCGTCTGCATGGAATTAAACTTTATTTTTCCAAAATAAAAGTAGCCTAAGTAACTCCTGATTACATCAGCTACTTGCCAAAAAAAGTCCCATCAAAATCGATCCAGCCATTTCAGAGATTAGCACTGGCGGAACAAACAGATAGACAGACAGACAAAAATTGTAAAAGGTGGTGTACCGAATTTATATTCATATGCTTGTAGTAAAAAACGGTTATTTCAATATTACAAACAGACACTATAATTTTATTTATATGCATAGATTATGTTATCTGTGGTAATATGGTCTCATGGCCTCATAGCAATGTATCATGTAGCGGTTTCCCCTGGGAGCTATCGTGATAAATTCCTGATGAATTTGCCACGATGAGCTAACCCTGACCTAACCTTATGCTCCACTAGTAGTCGCCTCGCCGGTGTAAACCATCAGCGCAGGCGGAGGCACCATTCCATTATCATTCATTAAAAAAATATACATAGAAAACACCCAGACTAGTAAAAACAATCATTATCATGAATACAAAATGTTTGTACCGTGCGATGAATCATACACGTGACCATTGAAAGACGGCATGTTAATCCGCTGGGCTACCGAAATCGTCTCTTTTTGTAGATACATAGATTGCATGCTACGAGAATTCATCCCGTGACCATCCGTGAACTGAAGTAATGTATTGCTGTCACATTGTCATCTTTCGTAAAATTGATTGGGAATTGCTCTCTCAAACTACCATTGAATTTAAACTATAAAATTACTGCAGACATCTTGCGACTAACACATAATCTACAGTCGATTTGAAGTCCTAATCCTCTTTGAAAGACCTGACTAGCACGATGTCATCTCATCCTCATTTGGAGGACAATTTCATAACCCATAGAAAATAATTTTCTATCCAGTTTTTTCCGGTTCAAACCTCTTTCTGCCAGTATAAAATGCGTGCAATAAGTGACTAAAGAATGTTTTTTCAATTTCTATACTTCACCTGTGGTATTCAACTTTGAAGCTATTTCCCTCCAAGCCGGCTTTGTATATGCCGCATTTGAATACTCTTTCAGTGTATTATCATATAAACACGGCCTTTTTTTCACTTCACGAACGAAGTCTATAATTTCTTCACCTTTTGTAAAAGTAAAAATACCACCGTTCCTTGGTTCCGGGTCTATTGAATTAAACTCTGGCTCCATATTGATATGGTGTTTTATTGAATAACACAAGTGCTTCGTATTTGCACATTACGTTTCGATACTGTACAGCAACGTGGCCGAAACATAACTAAATATTGCTTGCATCGCGCAGGTGTTGCCAGCACAATTTAAGCGAACCCACTTTCTCTTAAACCCAATTTTCAGAACCTATATTAATAAATCAACCACTGTATTGCAATTTTGTATAAACAACATTCATATTTTCTACTTCTTCCGTCTCCTACTAGAGGTTGGCGATCATCTTGGAGATCTTAACTTTGTCCACCGCTGTTCTGAATAGGGATCTGGTGCTAATCCAGAACCACTGACTTAAGTTCTTGAGCCATGACGAGAGCGCCTGCCTGGTCTTCGTCGACTCTGGACATTTTCTTAAATTATTAATTGTAAAAGACCAGCTTTTATTTCGCGTAAATTCTTATTTTATTATTTGTTATTTGATAATTAAAATTATATTATTATTTTCATAACCTGACTCTTAATTGGTCTCCCATAATTTTAGTTACCTACCTCTGACTTATTATAGGAAATCAGGATGATAAATATTCATTACTAATATTTATTAAATTTATAAATTTAATATTAATTTAAACGTACGTACTCCAAATGTAACTGGATATGACACTATATATTTGTTGCTAAGAATAATGTGAATACAAAAACTTATTATTAAATAAATAATAATTATTTATTTAAATTTTTATATTTAAATAAATAATTATTATTTATTTAATAATAAGTTTTTGTCAAAACAATTCCATCTTTATTTCCTTTATTATGTTTGTTATTAGGTACTAGGTGTTTATAGGTATATTAATACATGTGTCGTACATTTCATTTGGAATCATTATTTTCTATCCCAAATGTATTAAAACCTACAGTCACCAGAAACAAATTTTGCGCAAGAATGAGCACAAATGCAACAGATTTAGTGGTAAAAGCACATGGTGGCAACACAGCACCGCACGGCGCAACGAGAGGGTGACACTAGGTCGATAATGACGCACTCCGAATGATTTGCTGAATGTGATGCAATACTTATATCACAATTAGCAATTACAGTATGTTGGTAACACTGTACTTATTTTTATATTTGCAATAATGTGTGTGGCAGTTCTCTCTATTCGTCTGCTTATTCTTATGTTAACCACACGCTTCACTAAATTCATAATCTTATGTATAAAATTATCGTGTCACATTGTTAGTTACCATACTCCTTCAAAACGCATATAAAATTTCATAAAAAAAGATTTTTATGAAATTTTGTAAGCGGTAGGCGATTCTCAAACCTACTAAATAGCAGTAGGTTTGAAAATCGCGTACTACCTATTTCAAATATAAGTGTTAAGAGTTTTCCACGGCTAACATTTTTTTATATTTTTGGATAACATTTTTAATTTAAATTTTTATAATGTGGCATTAAAAAATCACCCGTATTTTTTATAGTGATTTTCATTTATATGGCATAACAATGTTTGCCAGGTCAGCTAGTAATAAATGTGACGGATGCTCTCAGTTTGTTACCTTTTTACAACTGAAAGAATCTTAATGAAAGACATGTTATATCACGAGGATGGACATATGCTATCTTTATCTGAAATAAACTCAGACGAAGTAACGCGTAACAGGTGGTATTTTATATTTACGATCACAGAACAGTTCTTTGTAAGAAAGAAAGAAGAAAGACAGACTTTCCACAGACAGAAGAATTACTGTAAAGTTATAAAAACACCATTACTTCTTCTTGAAGTTAATCTATATTTTTATAGAGATAAAAAAGCGTCACCAATGTATACAATATATTTTAAGGTATATGCCTTGCCAGGAGCGATTCTATTTATTTTGGAAATTATAAAAGACTGTATCTGGTAACTTCGTCTGCGTCATATATCTTATATTTCATATCATATCTTTATACTGGACTAGCGACCAAAATTGGCCACACAGGTATTTCAACGAATTTACCCGAAACCTTAACAAACACGCGTTCCTCAGAAATTAGTCTCTTCAACCGCATGAAAATCTGTTCAGGAGATTTTTAGATAATTGCGACGTACAGACGTGGCGTGGAACTTTGATTTATAATATGTATAGATATAGCAATGGGAACTATGGAATACCTAACTAAAGATTTAAACTGTGTATTTATTCCAATAAATACAGAATTAAAATCTAGATTTTTAGCTATTAAGCCGTATAAATAAGTTTAAGCAAAGTATGTAGGTATAAATAAGTTATGACAAAATGTAAAAAAATACTTGTCACAAAGCATAGACGAATCGAAAATAATTATATAAAATGGTTTTTCCATCTACACTACTACCACAGATAAGATAATATTATAAATACGATCTCATCGTTTGAGTCGGGAGCAGTTTTTTGTTATGAGGAAAAAACTTCGGTACCACTGCTTGAAATTGAGAAATTCTTATAGTTTTTTCAACCGTTTACTATTCCAGACTGACATCCCTTCCATATATCTTGTTAATATAAATACAAATAAATAGTTTTTATGGCAGAGAGAGACAAACTTCTTAGCAAACCATAGATTCACCGTGCGGGTGCCGGGTCTATCGTACAGTAGAGAGAGAAACTCCGAGCAGATCCCGGGGCTTGTGACCCGGGTGTATGTTTAAGGTGCCCAGCCTAAAAAAACATCCAAAACATTGTATAAATTGTATAGTTTTTAATTTTATTTTACCAATATTGTACCAATGATTATTATTGCCATCAATAAACTTAAGTCTTTGACTAGTAAAATCTTAGTTTAGTCTCAAGAATGAACATTTTTATAGTCGTGTTCAAATTCTTTACTCGACTTTAGTTGCTTTACTAAGGATAACTCAAATACTGGTCATAACTTGACTAAATTTGTAAGATACCACAAAAGAAGCACGTGTTTTTAATCATTTTTTTATTTATATAAAATCGGTTAAGTTAGCAAAAATATCTGACGTAAAACATACAAAAAAATAGAGTCGAAAACAAAACCTCTTCTCCTATATTCTAAAGTCGATTAAAAAATGAGAAACTTGTTGAATAGCTAAATTTAGTAGTTTGAATGTTTAATGAACAAAAGGTTAATTTCGTACTCTGTTAGGTTTACGTAACCCAACAGGTTATATAAACGTAACACCGGTCGTCTACTCTGAAAATATAGCTTACATAACAGGACAGAACCTGAAACATATTGATTAAGTACATTCAGCTAGATAAATGTATTTGTATAAAATTTTTACTATAGAATTGGCTGTTATTTTTTTACTATCCTAAAATTACTAATTCATAAAATCGATTAGACTACGCGGTGAGTCAAAGTCTTAGACTCACTTCTTTACTTTCGACAGTTGATTAAAAGTATAAATTATTGTTATTTATCCCGAATGGTAACACATGATGGTAACTACCACTGTTACGTGATGACGTTCATGTCTGTTAGCGCTAGCGCTCTTTTAATGTATAGGCTACGGTTACCACTTACCACGAGGTAGGCCGTCGTCTCAATAGACGACGGTCTACCTCGTGGTAAGTGGTAATAAAAATACTGATTGGCCAATCAGTGATCATTTTGTACTTAATTCTCATCATCTGCTTCTTCCTTATACCATTTATTTGGGGTCGGCGTAATATTTGTATTGACTTATATAATAACAAAATTAATCAAACTTTAAATTTTAACAAATCAATAATACTGATGACATGAACTGAAAGGATTACCCTTTCAGTTCAGTTCACGATAAGTAATTTATTCATGAAATCTAAAACCTCCTATATACAATAAAATCATTTTATTCCTTGACAATAACGTTTTCTCTCTGTCTTTGAATAAAAAAACAAAGGGACAAATCAGTTCTCCAATTAAAATAGGTTCTGAAAAGTTATAATTAAACGAGTAAATATTTAGTACACAAATACATAAATGTTTAAGTTGTAAAAATTAAATTTCTAAGAAAAAGATAATATTAATAAAATATTCTCCATTACAATAACGCACTGCAAAATACATTAAACCTCTTGAAAGACTGGAAAATACATTTGTTTGTGTCATGTGAGAATCAAACCCGGGACGCACGTTAAACCACTATACCACCGAGGTTGTGAATTAATAATAAATAATAAATATGCACCTATTTAAATTCCCAACATATTGCTAACTGCATGTACAATTTTCGTCAAGTCAGCGCTCACCGCGCATGAGTCAGGCGAGGCAACAGTCGGACACCGCTTCAGTACAGTTCTGCGCTCCGCTGACTAGATCAACGTAATCAAATTAGGTAATTAGGTGCAAACACGCTAGTCTATCGCTGATCCCACATCAGGTAAGTCCAAGATAATACCCGAGCAGTTAGAATCCTTTGTCTCTTTCCTACCTTTACGTTTTTCTACTTATATTGACGTTGCTAGAATTGTCCTGTTATATAAATCGCGTGCTCAATAATAAAATGCAGTATCTCAAAAGTTATATATATTGGAAAGTCGACTTTATATTTAAATCTGTTACGGTGGATTTGAAATATGTATTTTATTACGTAACGCAGTTTATTGTTAAGGGACCGTCCATGGTTACGTCACTTCAATGTCAGCAATTCTAAGTTACGGTTGATTATTGTAATAGATTATTTAAATAGGCGTATTAGAATACTGATATTGAAATGTTATGTCATAAAAGCTAGGACCCCTCCCAGGGCCCGCCCCGGTTTACTCGTGACGTAACTTGTTGATGGCCCCTAACTGTGCGAAGTGTTTTAGACTTTGTAACTCCCGTATTGTATATCTGTGTGTGTGTGTAATAGTGTAAGGTGGGAAGATATCATTTTTGCGTGTAATGGATAAGTTCGAATAATACATAACATAACATTATCTTACATAACATATTTCAGCCGCCAAGTTAGCTTTGTTATTCCTGTTTCGGTGAAAGGGTGAGCTATGGCAGTGAAATTATAGGATAACCAATATGACGTATTGGTACTCCTGAATGGCAAAGCATCAGTGGTAACACAGGCGTTACATGATGACGTAATGTCCGTTGTTCCTATACGTAGGCGACATTTTTTTTTGTATATGATAATGATATGGTGCACCCGCCTGCGCTAACGGTTTACGCTGGCGGGGTACCAGAGGAGGATGATAATATGAACTTGAGGTCAGGTCAGTTAGCACATCGTGATAAATTCACCAGGAATTTATCACGATGGGTTCCAGAGGGAATCGCATGGATGTCAACCTGACGTGGTACATTGCTAGCAATAAGATCTTCAATACACTTTACTACCAATCCACTTTCCCCCCAATAGCCGATTACCATTTACCATTGGGACTGCGGCTATCTTTGTTATTCATGTTTCGGTTAAAGGGTGAGATATGGCAGTGAAATTACAGGGTAAAGAATATGACATCTTGGTACTTCGCAGTGGCAGAGCTGACGTAATGCTGTAATGCTGTTCCTATATATAGGCGACAGTTACCACTTACCATTGGGATTTATTTTACGTGCGACGTCAGTTTCTTCCTATTGTAAAGACATAAAACAAATGAAACCGATTTAATAAACTCTTACATCTATATCTATCTATTTTTCTACTAAGCTACATTGTAATGTAACATTTACTCTTAATCTACAAAAAATTTACAGCAACAATTACTGCAGGCGCCCGCCTGCAGTAATTGTTCAGACAGTTCAAAATATAAATTTAACCTAATTAGGCATTTTAATTATCTATATAATAGTTATGATTTTTTATTCTATCTTCTTTATAAAATCAATACAAATAGATGTGCATTAGCGTTACACAGACAAGAAGTCTTTTTAAACGTATAACAGTAAGATAATACTATAAGCTTCTGGGTAAGCGCGCTACATCTTAGATCTCGCCATCATTTCCCGTCAGATGAGGTAAGACCAAGCGCAAACCCATTAATATAAAAAAATATATACAATAAATATGAAAAACAATAATTAACTGTTTTCAAAAATATTTATGGACGGTATGTCTAATATACCCACATAATACAGCCATGAAACAAAATAATATATTATTATTTCTTCATGTATAATATCTTTCTTCTAACTATGATAAGTAATAAAATTATAGATTTCACTTCCAGTACTCTAGTTTTATATAATCCCGAGAAGACGTAAATATATAGGTACATATATATGCAGACTACTATGATATTTAATTTTGACGATAGATACAGTACATAACACTGTGATGTTCTTCATGCCCTTCCATCGATACCCCATCCAATTCAAACGGGGATCGAAATTACGACGGCCTGTGCCGAGATTCGAACCCCTAGCGATGCCCTCAGACTGAAGTCGTATCCGTCAAGAGAGAGTTGGCCTTCAGCCACTTGATAAGTCCTTCCGCGGGTTTGGAGTGCCATTCTGCACTCGCCCCCTATCGTTTGGTGCTGTGAAGACCAGCTGCAGCCAACAACATTAGAGTATGCGTCTAAAGTTACTCAATTATGTATACTAGGACTAGATTCAGTAGCTGCATAATTATTGCATATAATGCATTCTTTACCTCGCACGCATTTCTGGATTAATTTTGATACATAAAACGACATAAACTAAAGAGAAAAAAAGAACATTGCTAAGGTTTCCATTGCTTTTTTCTTGTTTTATATAGCTAGGTTATTCCATCATGGCTGATATTAGTTGACAATAAAAATTCTGTAAAATTGCAAGTTCAATATTTCTTCAATCACAGTTAAAAAACAAAAACAAATACCACAGTGGTATTTTTTTTTTATAAAGCCAGACCAAGCGCGCTTATTGGCGGATATTTTATATTGGTCATTTGAGTTTGCTATTTTTAACTATTTTTTAAAATTACTTTAAATCTATTTTTTTATGTTATATATTTTTTTATTTTATAGAATAATGTACACTATCGAATAAAAATAATACATGCTTATTTCCTATTTTATAAAATGATAAATACACACAGATTGACGGCCTCGGTGGTACATCGTTCTACTTCACATGGTCGCGGGTTCGATTCCTCGGACTGTAATAATTTTTGTACAAAAGGCACAAATTGTTTTTCAAGAAAATGTACTGTCAATCTATCAATCAGTATCATCAATACAAGTATGATTTCATTATTATGTTGTTTTCAGGCGGTAATCGACGCCTGGGATTGGAACACAATGTCGGGCATGACAGGAGCCAGTATGCTGCGCACACGCAGGAAAGATGTCAACGTCAAACCCAACCGCAAGTAAGTACCGTTTTTACCATGTATAGGAACAATCTTCAAATCACCACACGGTGTACCTACGAGCAGAATTCGAGGTTGCCATAGCATTCTACCGCGACTCCGTTGGTCCGCCCTATAGATGATGTAGGGCAGACCCCAAGTGGTTAGGGCGACCTATATCGCTCTATTCAAGTACCTAAATGCAATTTTGTTTCAACCGATTCTTAAAATTATAGGTACAGTTACTAAGTATCTCTTCTCTTTATTGGTGACGAGACGCTGATATTTGTAAGAGAATTTGTTAATATTTTTATATTTATTTAACTAAGATAGGTTCATTTTATTATTATAAGTGACTATCCAAACTTCAGAGCAAATGTTTGGCAAGATATAACTCATATATGTTATTATATCTACATCTATAAACATAAATATACACTTAAACATATATGCATAAAATTAATGGAAAGAGCTTAAAAGTATCTATAGACAGTCATAGAGAAACAACTTGGGTATCATTTTAAATCACGCGACCTGCGCAGTAACAATTCTACATAAAAATTGTATATTGCACAAATAGTTATTGTTAGTTATTGAATTTATTCTTCAATAATTATGGGCTCACAATTTGATTTATTTTTTACTTATTAAATCTCACCAATTCTAAATCGTTTTAAATTGTCTTTTAATCTATTGGATATACCACATGAACCATACTAAAGTTGCGCTATTTTGTTACTTTTTGAAATCTTTGGCAATATACAATACAATATACAAAAAGAAATTCAGATTTTGTTACCAGCAATGCAGTCCTAAAGGTTGGCAATACTCGCAATTTCTTTAGCGTAATAGTACAAACTGGGGGTTTGTTAGATTTAAATTCAAATTAATTGTTACAAAGTATGTAACTTTTTATTATAACAATATTTTTGTAATAAATGCAGTTACCTGCTGGATTAATTTCAAGTCTTAATTTTGATGGTCTCGGTAGTCCAGCGGTTTAGCACACTGCCTCACTTCCGACAGTCGCAGGCTCGAATCCTCACGCGGCCCAAATATTTATATTCTTAACAATAAAAATAATAATAATAATAATATGAAAACAGGAAAATGTTTATATAATACCAATAATACTCTCTTTCACAGGTATTATACCTTATCACCTACGTCATAGTCTGAAACAACTAAATATACAAAAAATACTCTACATCACCCTTCAAAAGGCTACCATTTTATATATCTGCCAGCAAAATTGAGTTAATGAGACAACAACGACAATAATAATAATAATAATAATAATAATCATATATAAGTACGAGCCCCAGCCGGTCCTCGAAAGCGACAGCGTCAAGCTCTACTGGGACCGATCCATCATCACGGACAGGACCGTTCTTGCGAACAAACCTGATATCGTGGTGATGGATCGGGCACTTTCGAGGGTGTTTTTGGTGGACATCACCATACCGCACGACGAGAACCTCGTGAAAGCCGAAACTGAGAAAAAGAGAAAGTATCTCGACCTGGCTCACGAGGTGACCGAAATGTGGGGGGTGATGTCCACCGAAATCATTCCAATCGTTATGTCGGTGAACGGTCTTATCCCAACCAGTCTGGAACAACATCTCAGACGGTTGGGATTCCGGGGCGGCTCACTCCCGGGAAAGATGCAGAAAGCGGTGCTGTTAGATTCTGCCCGCATTGTACGCCGGTTTCTCTCCTTGGGGCCCTGAACTCCGGCCGACTGTGCTTCTGCCGGGGGTATGTTGCCATCTCCTCTCCTTAAGAGGGGAGATGAGAATTTTTGGACAAAAAAAAAATAATAATAATCACCTTTATTTCTCTCAAATAACTAATATCTTAAGTATAATTGTTTGTATTGGTCTGGCTGTTTTATATGTATATTATGTATAAGTATATTTACAAAAATAATGTATTTAAGTAGTCTGATTTCTGCATTTAGATTTGCATGCATTTAAAATATATCATGTGTGTATATCAGGTTGGACCGCAAGTCATCCCGTGGCATGCTCTACGAAAACGAGGAGCTCCGTCTACGCACCATTAATATAAATGCTGAAGTGGAAAGAGGTGAGAGACAAGAGGTTACAACGCTGACTTAGATCCAAAAGACCTCAGTTCGAATCTAGTACTAGACTAGTAGTAATCTAGACTATCAAATTCGATATCGTCTCTTAAATTCATTTAATTAATTTGGGGCTGACCCCTGCCATGTTGGATTCAAATATATACAGCGAAATGTAGGCATGTCAAGTGTTGCGTTCACTACGACGCCGACTGTTGCTGAGTGGGGTACTCATCAACAGTCCCCCAGAATCTGGTAATGCAAACACAGGTAACATACCGAATTATTACAAAATAGAATGTAGGTAAGTTAATAATTAATTTTCTCTAAGGTTATGTCAATAAAAATAAATGATTAGTCAATGATATATTTCACAGCGCAATCTAAATCATTATTTGCATAGAACTTGTTGTAGTTCGCAATTTCGTGTGCACAAACATTCGCCCTCATTCCATTCAGGTGCTTTTAAGTACAATCTATCTTCACGTCAAATTTCATTAAGATATGTTCAGTCGTTTAGTATTTAAAATGTAACAAACAGTCACACGGACTCATTTTCAGTTATATAATATTAGTACGAATGACGGCAGAAACTACTTATGATACTAATACTACTAATTATGTAAAAACACCAACCAAAGCAAATAAGCAAAATGCATAACACAAATAAAGAGGATCAGTCCACCATTATCATCAGTATACCAGATGACCAGAACAAAATACCAGGGTAATGAGGAACCTTCCTACAGGGAAAATTTAACTAATTGAACTAAGAAGTTTAAATTCATTGTTCCTTCGCAGGTCAATCAGACATAAAGAAATTGAAGCGGGAGAACGAGCAACTGAAACGGGAGATATTAGCTCTTCGTTATGAATACGACCGGCTGGATACCATGCTCCGAGAGAGACGCTCCTCCCCCGAACACTCGGACGTACGTTATCGTTAATTCCATCACGGAATTGTAAATGTGCCCTTCGATTTAATTATATAATTACTAAGTCATTGGATTATCTAAAATTTAGTTGAATAGCTGCCTTTGCACGTACGTTCATTCACGTGCGAGAAAAAGTGTGCATGAAAATGTAGAGAAAGAGAACAATGATGCAAGCTGCGCTGAGCGTTCTGCATTCCATCGTGCTTTAAAGACGTCTCCCGTGCTTAATCATGAGTAATTAGCATATACACACGCTTTCCTCTCTGAATCAAAAACACACGCGCTTTCACGCATTCAATCGCGCGCTTCGTACATGTAAAGACATGTAAAGGCAGCTAACTATTGCTGGCTCATTCTTCATCCTCGTGAACGGGTCGCTACGACTGATTATATTTGTTACCCAATTGTAACTATATCCATAATATCTTAATTTTTAAGATTTCCATCTTTAGTAGTACCTATTCGCACAAATTCCGAAATATTATCTTTTGTCAAAAAAGCAGACGCCAAGTTTCTTCAACATTCTTCTCGGCTGAATCTGCATTGTCAATGTAGTAGCAAAATAGAAGTTTAAAAATTAAAAAATACTGTAAAATAAGTTTATTTCAATAAAGACGTCTTTTATTCCACTCGTGCTTCATTCATCCATCCGTCCATGCGTACATCCATCTGCCTGCTTCATTTAATATCCATTATTCAAGTACTACCCCATAATGACATCATTGATCTGGCTGGGCGTTATCCTGTGAGAGATGCTGCTCGACCTGCACTCGGGTGTACGTTATCATTAGTGCAACAATGGAATTGTAAAAATGACTTTGAACTTCTCATTCAGCTATGATCCGTCAGCCTGTATAATCTATCATCTGTCATCCGTCGTTCTAGTTTTTTTATGTAATTGAAATGGCAAACAAGACCCACCAGATGGAAAATAGCTGTCGTTATCAACAAATATAAACAGCGTTACGGAGTTTACGACGATACACGACGCCCTTGGTAGTCTCTAGGTGAACTCTTAATGCTGCAATTTCTGAAGACTAAGGTAAATACTCTGCAATTTCACTGTAAATGTTCACTGCAAAGTGACTGAAATAGGTGAAACAGAGATGCGATATCAAATTGACTATTGCTCTAGATTCTACCACAAAAAGAATTTTCAAGGAGGAAGGAAGAAGGCACAAAAAGAATGATAAATAATAATAAAAATAAACATTTATTAAAAATATAAATAACTACATTAGTCAAGTATATGTAATGGACTTGGGTTGAAGACATCTCCAAAAGCGTTCTAGCCGCGGTAACAATCACAAACTTGTATACAAAGATGATCCCTTTCTAATTTCTGTGCTACTTCTTTTATAGGGGACATGAACATAGTTAAACATTCAGGTTCCATATCAGTCTCGATAAATAAACTATATAGGTTCTTACATTTTTCTATCATGAGCTCTATTTTGTTAACAGTTATATTATTATCCTCGAAACATCTTTCGTACTCACAAATGTGAATGTTCTCCAACATTGAGCATTGACTCATTGTATCGAACAACGCATCGTACTCAATATCTTCAGTAGTCAACTTCATGTTTTTCAATTTCTTAACTAAGTTAATTGCTGGAGGAAGAGTAAAACCTCTGCAGAAATCTCGACTCTCAGGCTTTTCAACATAAATATCCACAGTCTCTAATACATGGCATGCTGAAAACAAAACTGCGAAATCTGTCAGATAAACATTGCTAAGTCGCAAATATGATATGTTTTTAACAACTTCCGAATTTGATAAAAAACCAAAAGGTTGGTCACACGGCAACACAATACCTTTGACTCTGCAAAAATCGCTTAGCGTCAACTTTTCTGGGAGACTTGCTAGTTCTCCAATACTATGACAGGAATCTATACAATACCAGTCATTTGTACAGTCTATAACTTTCATTGTAATGTTATCATGCAAACAATAGTAAGTTGGGAAGTAATTTTTTAAGTCTAAAAGTAAGCCCTTCATGAATGTATCATTAAAATAGTTACTCTTGTTCCAAGCTTTGAAGATAATATTCCCGTCAAGCATAAAATCTATAGGTAATCGAGTACAAACCTCCACCCTCAAATCTTTACAATTTCCTAAAAATAAATTTCGGAAAATCGGTGACACATAAATAACAATTCTTTCCAAATACATTATAAAAATGTATTCTATTTGTTTATAATCTAAATTTGCTACGCCTCTCAAGCATTGCGAGGTTTTGTGTGTTACTCGACAATCTCTTAATATATAAAATAGTTTTGAGAAGTTGATATCATAAGTTTTGTTATTCAACGGTTCGTCATCTTCGGTATCATTAAAATCTTTATAATTATCAGCAATTGTGACTTTTAAATCCTCAACAGGCGGTAGACCTTCCAAAAACATCAATGGAATATCAGAATCGAGTAGTTCGAAAACAACAAAATGAACTTTTACAAATTGCCTGATTTTAAATAAATTTCTACATTCCTCCCATATCTCTTCTTTTTTACATTTTCTAGGACACTTAAAGAAATTAATGGCCAAGCTCTTTAAATTAATAGGACATAAATTAACAAAATCTGATAAGTAAACGTCCGTGAAGGTAATGTCTAAAGCTGTTAAATTAGGAAATTTTCTAACGTGTAATGTTAGATTTTCTGGTGATAAATCAGGCATTCCACTTAAACAAAGTTCTTGAATATACAACCCCAAGTCCAAAAATAACTCATGGTCTAATATTTTCGCTATAGCCACAGTACTTCTAGAGAGGACAAGCTTCTTCACATGACATGGAGCAAAGAATTCCTTCAAAACACTGCATCTGTATGCGTTGATTTTTGATTTCGTATCCAAATAATTAAAAATTAATACACCAACTTCAATTGGCAGATTAGTAAAATTCATTACCTATAAAATTAAAAGTACAATGCAAAACTATATAAATATTTTAGTAAGATTATATAAATGTTTTTAATTATGAAATTTGTGTCACAGATCATACAAAATAAAAAAACATATACCTAAGTGCATCAATTATAAAAAGAGGTCTCTATTAAATATTTTTCCGCCCAGTTTCTGAAGAGATTAGAAATATTTATTGAGTGTATTCATTAAGTTTGACTTATAAATATATTTAAACCTGTAATCTTTATCTTTTTAATATTAGAGTAATATTATTTTTATTGTGTTTTAAAGAAGCTAGATCAATATCAATATTATGATGCACTGAACTGTTTTCTAAATATACTTACTGACCTATAAAACAAGGAATTAATCGCCCTGAATAATGTTGAAAGATTTTGAAAAATTCTGTAATGGGTTGAATGAAACCGATATGTAATATGTTAAGTTAACAGTCGCCGTACACCTGTCTTAGCAGCTTGTTTTACACCAGTGAAATTATAGGATACATGAGGCATAGCAAGTAAGTCTTCAGGAATGGGAACAAGTGGAAGGTACCACAGGTATTTGGTGACGTCCAAAATCCTGTTCATATTAAGTGTAGGTTATTTTCCATTAGGTGGACTATTATGTCAATTACATAAAAAAGTCATATGTCACACAAGATTGCATTTAAATATAACTTTACTGTACTGGGTATAAGTAACAGTCTTGATTGGCAGGACAGCGCGTCGGTGTGTAGCGCGTGTCCGGACTGCGCGAGCGCTGATGGTTCCACCCGGGCCGTCGCCTTCAACGACCTCAGCGTGGTGCCCGAAGAAGGGGAACTGGAACCAATCAAGGTTGGTATTCGATTGTTCACGCAAAAAAAGAAAGTTCTCAATCTATTGAATTGCTTATTTTTACACTTTCGCGATTAGTATTATTATTTCCCTCCAATCGATCCCAATTCAAACGGGGATCGAAATTACGACGCTCTGAGCCGAGGTTCGAACCTCTAACGGTGCCCTCACACTAAAGTCGTATCCGTCAGGCGGGAGTTGGCCGCTCCATAAGTCCTTGCGCGGGTTTGGAGTGCCATCTGCCGTCCAGTGAAGCTGTAAAGGCCAGCTGTGGCCAACAGCGTTACAGTAGTCCGACGAGTAGTTTCGGCGTGCTCTATCCGTGGTCACGAGCTGACTAGAGTAATAATTTCATCGCACAATCTAATAACGGTAGTTGAACAAACTGCCTGCACCTATCAAGATTGATATTCGGTGTTACTCCAGTCAACTCGTGACCACGGCTAGTAGAACCTAGACGCGAAACTTCTAGAGAAATAAATGGCTTTATTTGCCATAAAATATTCGCGTTAAAACCGTCTTCCAAAGACGAATATCTCACGTCTATTTTTTGTATCGCATCACCTTCATAAAGAAATGAAGTAGAATATAAAATTTTAACTCTTATTTACCAAATGTAAAAAATCCTTTGCATGGGTACCTCAGTCTCACCTATTGCAGCCGCCAAGCAGCTTGCTATGTAAACTGTGTAGGGTGTAGGGTGCAGATAAGGCAGTAAAATTACAAGATAAGAGGCATGATATTTTAGGCGTCTGGAATGGCAACACATAAGTACTATTAAGAGTGTCCCATGATAACGTGATGGAGCCGTAACCGTAGTACTGCCAATACCGGTTATTACTATCAGCATGTTTGGCATCCCAATTACATAAAAAATGTTTTCATATTAAACTGATCACGTGACAATGCAGATTATATGAAAGTGTCAAAACTTTGAAAACCTGAATTCCAGTGATAGTATTTATGATACTTAATAAAAATTACATGACTTCTATTCTCATTACATAGTATAAAACAAAGTCTCTGTCGCTGTCAGCCCGTCCCTATGTATGTTTAAATCTTTAAAACTACGCATCGGATTGTGAAGCGGATATTTTTAATAGATAGAGTGATTCTAGAGTAAGGTTTATATGTATACATGTACACCCGGGCGAAGCCGGGGTGGGTAGCTAGTATGCTATAAAGAGACCTATCACTTACGTGTATATGTTACAGTAACTTTGAAATAGGTCTAGTTTTTTTTATTTATCCATTACAATAAAACCAGCCATACCTACAATAACCTATTATTTCCTCGATTTATTTCTGAATCAACGTGTAACAAGTTTTCTTACCCACAGTTTGTTTTTAGCGATTGATAAATATGCATTGCGCAGCTCGGCTATTTCAAACCACTTATTGATTATACCGCAAATGTAGTTACTATATGATATATCGTTTTCGAATAAAACCACACCAGGGTTGCAAGCATTAATATTTTATACCATGTAGGTACAAGGAATAAAAAAAATTACGTACATTCTTCCGTTTTAATCTCCACCATCATTTAGACCGATTTCCAATACATCATGAAAACTTGTCCAAGGTTGAAAACTTTAAGAAATTAAATAGATATAATTTAGAGCACTATTTAGATCATAACGAAATAATAATAATATTAAAGAATATAATATCTGAATTTCATCAGATGGATAAGTACTAATCTATAATAAAATACTAATACTAGCTGACCCGCGCTACTTCGTCTGCGTTTCATTTCCCCACCTTTTCCGATATTTTTCTTTGCAGCTCCGCTCCTATTGGTCGTAGAGCATAATATTATATAACTTAAAGCCTTCCTAGACAAATGGACTATGCAACACAAAAATATTTTTTCAATTCGAGCCAGTTCCTGAGATTAGTGCGTTTAAACAAACAAACAAACTCATGAGCTTTATAATATTAATATAGATTCTATAAATTATGTAAAGTCTTCATAAAAACAGTTTCCTCGCCAGAATGATAACGAGGGGGAGGGAGTGTGAGAATTTTACTCTCTACTACTATTCTTACAAACCACATGGTGTCATAACACCATACTGTACCTAACACCATGCGGTTTTTTAGAGAATCGATCCGCCAATGCCGGAGTCACCTGGTCGCGGCAGCATTCTAAACACAGTTGCCATCCCTAGACTACACTCATGGAAAATAAACAATAGATATTCACCACGGAAAAACTGACGGATTGACGTATAGTCCGTGAAGTTCCGCTGTAACGACCAAAATAGACCCAAGTTCGAAACTAAACAAAATCCATCATTTTTATGCAATTGGAATGACAAGCTGACGGTCTATTTTAATGGTAAGCGTTAATCGTCGCCTATATACATGAACAGCATTACGGATATGACGTCATAATGTGACGCCAGTAGTACTTCACATGCGTGTTGTTTCCGGATAACTAAGATGGCATGCTGTTGAACTAATTTTTTTCATTCTACCACCAAATTTGAAATATAGACATCTGTCACAGAGTCATCTGAGAAGAATTCGCAAGAAATTTAACTATTCTTTTTTTAATGTTTGTGAGAGTCCCTCTCCTTAACCCACCCTCGGAACCGCGGCTGATTTTCACTAGGCTTTATAATAATAGTATACTAACCATTTAAAAAAAAAATCAGGCTATAGAAAACGATTGACGATATTAGGCTCTGGCTTGTGGAATAGTACCGATATAGACCTTACAAAGTCGAGTGCGTGGGTAGCTGTGGCTCGCCTATTGCAGCCTTCAAGCAGCTTGCTTTGTAAGCTGTTTCGACTGCAAGCATATGACGTATGACAAGTACGTACGAGATTACAGGGTAAGAACAAGGTACAAATGCATATGATCCTCTGGAATGGAATATTTGTATCTGTGTATCTGTGCAACACGTGTATCTGTGGCACAGTGGTGTTGTATTAGTCGGGTACCACTTACCATCAGAAGGGCTGTAAGCTTGTTTTCCACTACAAAAAAGGTATATTTAAGACGTGACTCTTCTAGTGTTTCAGGCGCTCTATTTTACCATTAGATTGGCCGTATGCTTCGTTGTCACTATCGTAGTACAAAAAATTAATTAATTAAGAGTCAAAGTATTATATATCAGCACACTTCATTACCCAACTTCGCCTGTGTCACATTTTCCTATTTTCCAATATTTTTAATCGCTCCTATATATCGTGACGTTATATAGTCTATAACCTCCAGTAATGGGCTATCCAACACTAAAATAAATTCAAAACCAGATCCGAAGACTACCCCTAATATCCAAACTCGCAATAACCTCTTTATAATATTAGTATAGAGTAGTGTTTATAGTTATACAAAATAAATCAGTGTCCCTAATTACCTATTTCTATTTCTATGCTTTAATGGCTTGGAAATGGGGTTACATGGATCCGAATTATGGTATACCTACTCCAAGTCAAGGCCGGACACGTCGATGTTAGAAAATATTGTAACACCTAATGTATTTATAAATAAACTCAGTCGTCTGCGACTACAGACGCGCGCGCAACGAGCACACTTTCTGAAATTCAGGAGTTATTTCAAGTGACGAAAATGTTTAAATATTCACCGTGAACCGTGGAAATATGTACGTAATTTGTTCTATAGGACATCACTGCCTATTCTAGTAATACAGTGAGTCGTGAATTGTTGGAAATTATTACTATGTGAAATGTGACTTCATTATGCGGCGGACAAGAAAGAAGCAGGTATGAGTACCAGATATTTATTTATCTCTTTTTTGCATATCTTCGTACCTTTCAGGCCAGGTTCCAAATGGGTTGTGAGAAATAAATGACTAGTATTACAGTATATTGACATTTATTTACATATTTTTAATGTGAAAGTAATAGGTATATCTTTCTTCTTTCGTTTTTTTATTTTTTTCGTAAATTATCGGTATTGTAGTGACATACAAAAATAATTATAGGTAAAAATATACATTAAATACAACAATAAATCTTCTTATATTTTCACAAATGATTAAGTACTTGTACTAAAATTTATGTGATTTTATAAACTGCAGTTTCAATCACCGTAGTCAAATATAAGGACATTGTAATTTGGAACATAACCAGCCAAATAGCTGTTTATGTTCCAAATTAAATGGTGTCATTAATCTCGTTAAACATGCTCAACCATATTTAGAATAACTTTATTCAAATCATAACTAAATTATAAATTCTTTATTACCTACGTAATATCATGTCTTAGATGCAATGACATTGTTAGCGTATGATGCAAGTAACTGTAATAATTAATTAATGGAAATTTACAAAAATATGGTAGAACATAAAAAAAAATATAATCTAGAATGATGAAATGATAAATCAGAACTAAAACAAAAAGTCGTGCACGGTTTTCAATTAGATACATTCCCACAAAAAAGGAAGGTACTCCAAATAAGAAAAGGTTTATATCTTATTTTTATTTATTTTATTGACTGAACGGTTTTGATTTTATTATATTCATAAATTTTTCCATATTCATCAGTTTGTGTAACTCAATTAAAATACTAGCTTCTGACTGCAACTTTGTCCACGACAAAAATTAGTCTATCTTCTTCTTTGTTCCCAATACCTATACGTAAGTATATTATTTGCTTTTATTATTTTTTTTGTTTCTGTACAAATATCGAGAAAAGGTTGCAAATCTAAAAAAATTGTATTTACACAGAAGTCGTTTCAAACTATTAGAACGATCCCACGTTACCTTCCACGAAGTATACATGAAGAGTTTGTGTATTTCCGTCCCGCCAGATGGTTGAGTACCGCAAATCTTGCTGGTAATTCGATGGCTGCCTGTTTCATACAAGTAGGTTACCGAAAGCATCGCATAAAGTATAATGTACTCGTGGAAAGATAAGAGGATCTGAAAATAAAACCGTTTACTAAGATGCCTGACCTGAGCGGGAATATTCTTTTATGTAGTTGGAATGGTAAACGCGCTACGACCACCGGATGGTAAGTGG